TTTATGTTTATTGTTAGGGGGCCATAAAATTCGGTTAGTTATGGTGATATAATGCCTACTTGGTAAATAAATCAAGGTGTTCTTGGTCCCTCTATCAATGGGTTTCAGAGAAAATGATACAGAATTCAATGGACAAAGCGTCTTTTATGGCTGGCAGTACAAACGATTGCCGAGGAATACCACTGCGGTCCAAAAGGCAATCCACTCCGCGAAATTCAACAATGGTTTGAACTTTAAAATTAGTTTTATAAGTCCTGTGTATTCGTGATTTTACAGAGAAACCGCATCAAAAGGAGTTCTACACTTTAGCTGCCTCGGAAAGACATTCTACTCATTGTTCTTCCTTCAATTACTGAAGAGCAATTATCCCTTAGTAGCATCAGAAGTGGAATAGTTTACTTAGTTCTATGTGTGGTGTCTATATGTCCAACTAGACAAGCTCCTCGACCATCAAATCGTCTGCCCTCATCTCGGCGTCGTGACGTATGCTCCATGACCCCAATTTCAGGGCTCCTCTGTTCTCACGCACCCCTGTGAAGTCTTTGCGAGGGGTGGTAAATCAGAGCGTCTCGCTTTTAGCCGAGGTGACTAAAACCGTCATTTTAGTGGTCTGATGCTAAACTTAAGCGTCACAGAGGGAATGGGCCAGTTGTGGATGGTCGTATCTACAAAACTCGTAATTGAAGGCCCCACGAACGCTTATTGAAGTTCGACTATCACTCCAAGCTCGCATTCGGTACTACATTCAGAGACGATTGTGAAGGATCAAAAATAGGCAAAACTAAAAATCGCTTTTTTATGATAATCATTGTTGTGGATAATACCCACCCTATCTGGGGCCGAAAGGGGAGTATTTTCTGGTTTTAAGTAATTACAAACACGAAAATAGTGGGAACGAATCAACTAACCGTCCATTGGACCTGGGGAGACGGATTCCCCTCGACCATACAGACGAAAAGAACGGGCTGTCCAGAGATTACCTTCTCCGACTTCAGGGGTTGAACGATCCGGGGTTTCTCTGTGGAAGAGAAAGCGACAATAAAAATTCTTCAAGGGCTTTCTAGTGGTTGGATAAGGGTTCTCTAGAAAGCGTTTCATGTATTTCCCCCCACCCCAAGACAACATTTATTGACAACAGAGAGGAAATGGTACGAAATAAGGTACTTAGAGGAAGTACCGTCGCAACCTTTAAGGATATTTTAACACACAAATAGGAATGATTATCCATTAGAGATATAACTTTTAACTCAGCCCAATAGTTGGTTATACCATACAAGTTTTGTTCCTAAAGCAGCAGCATTTTAGGCTAGACCTGATAACAACGAGTTTAATGGAGATCCCGTGGTGAATCATAAGGGACTATTTCCTTTTATTTGCTAATAAACTTTACTGCAGTCGATTTCTATCTCTCTCTCCCCTCCAACGTCATGCCTTATAAGAAAGGTCGATTTTGTCTACCCCTCTAGGTGTTTCAAAGCGCAAATTTAAAGGAGTTTTCTCATTGTATTAACCGAAGGGTAGAAAAGTAAGTCCCAGCCAATTTCATATTTCCTACTGTCCAGCGTTTCTTCTTCTTTCCATGCGGATAGGTGACTGTCTAAAGCCATGAAGTGGTGAAGCTTGCTTGGAGATATGAAGCAGGATAAGGAGGTTTAGGTACGGCAGTATATTTATTTAGGAGGGAGAAGTTCTTGCGTTGTCCTTTGTCCCACTTCACGAATTCACAGCTTCTTGCTATTTCTAATAAAGGATTCCTAAACACCTGCAAGTTGTATCACATCGAGGAGGCAGGTCTTAGCCGCAGTTAGTGTTTGCCTCTAAGTGGGTAAACAAATCCCCGTGACACATAACATCTACAAGTCACCACACGGGTAGGGCAAAAATAATCTTCCAGGGCTGAAGTGGTGTGTGCCTTAGAAATGTGGATGGTTTTCGAGGTAAGCGGTGATATGCTTGATCGTTGAGAGAAAGGCGGTACTCATGAGCCCCTCCCCATCACAAGCTAGCCAGCAGGGAATATCAAAACGACGTGGTTTATCATGCATCAGAAGGAAAAGAAGCAAAAATTTGTGGTCCCTCAGGCCCATTGCTACCCGTTGTTAATGCATGTGAACGCCTTCTGCACAGTAGCTTTCAATAGTTTTCCTCGCCAGCTCCTGCATGTGTCCAACAAGTAGTTTTTTTTCCGGGGTTGCTGACATTAAGCATCACTAAAAGGTGTTTTTAACGCACCACTCTCAGTTACCCAAATCAGGAGAGACACGTAACTGTAATTCATGACGTCTACTGCATCCATCACCATTTCTGGATGGTACATTCACCTCCTACCGCCTACAGAATCTTCTTCCAATCCTGTGTACCAAATTGGAGCAGATAATGCCAACTCACTTCCGGTTCGTTGAAATGATATTGTACGATTGTCGGAAGCGATAGGAGAGTACTAGGAGAGCTAATTAAAGACTGGCGCTTATCTATGCTTAATAATGCAAGTAAACAATAGAGTTTCGCATATCTTTATGGGATAAAAGAAGGTATTATAACGAATTGCCTCGGAAATTGCACTAAACTGATAATGCTTCATTCAAAGGCGACACCATTGAGGAGGCTCCGCGGTACTGAAACTTCGAAGCCTACACTCCAGGCTTTGGTATAGATGCGTTAAACCTGGCAGGTAGACGTCATCTTACGCATTTGTATTGAATAAAATATCTTTAAAATGTCTCCTTTATAAAAGATGCAAATTGTATAGCTTCATGTTTTATTTCGCAAAATAATAAATGAGCAAATTTGTCACTTGCGAAGTCTTTACGAGTACATCCTTAGCAGTGTGCTTGATGGAAATATGCCGGAAATTCTTTGTGGACGGATAAAAAGGCTATGCTAATTCGTACAAATCTGCACAAAACAATTAATTTTTAGAGAAAAAGTTCATAAGAGGAACATTTGCCAGGAAAGACGTAACAAATGGTCGAAAAGTGACAATATTTCGTCATGGCCACTTCTTTAGGTTGCAGATACAGTTTGGAGATATTAGTACTAAAATCTGAATATTTACTAAGGTAGCACCTCTAAGAGCGAGCATTTCAATGCCCCTGATAAAATAGTTCTTCCACTAGTAAATGAAAACCTGTAAGTTTATTCTAATCTACATACAGCCTTGCATTTGATGCCACTGAATATACTACTTAAGTCACTTGACATTCCAAAACAGAAGTTTTAATATTGCAACATAAAAAAATAAGGAAACTAGTTAACAATGAAGTGCATTTAAAGAACACGGAGTATCTTTTTTAAATACATATGCTTCATGAATTTCCTTAAGACATGTTGTTGCCAAGTAAATAAATGGGAGGAGGGATGTACGCTCAATTGCAAAATTTCCTAAATAGTAGCTAAAAAATATTTGACTCTGCATAAACAAAGTAAAAGTAATAAATTGAGTGAGATAAAACAATTTTTTTAGTTTTTTAAAAGAAATGATTAAAATGTTATCTGCACCAATGCTAGGTGACCATCTTGATCCCTATTAAAGGTGTCATGATAAAAACCCTCCTTCTCAATAAAATAAGCGAAAAATGGTTAATAGTAGCTTATAAAAATTAGCATTTATAAGAAAATATTCACAGCTAAAAAGAAATTTCACTCGTCAAACCTTAGAACAGTAAAATGGCTTACTTCCTTCGGCTGTAGTATCAAACGAAAATGGGACGATCGCAAAGTCATCACCTAAAGTACTCATTATTTTGCCCCAAAATGTTGCATTTTGCACTGTTTTTTAAGAGTTTGTATTCACAGACACGGTAATATGAATAAAATATTCGGGATTTGATTGCCCAATAAAACTGGGGAATTTCCAGTCGGAGTGAAGCCTTGCAAACAGGCAAAAACTTCTTTTATACCAAAAAAAATTGCTTTTTAATTGTAATATCCAGCAGTATATAAGTACTTTATGTCTAATATTGCGATACCATTGTAAACAATGGCTAATTAATGGGTGTCTCCCGAGGGTACAGCCAGTAATTGAATACATCAAGGAACTTGCAAAAACTTTCATCAAAAAGCGGAGCACTTAGCTTTAGCCGTAATTTAATTCTGAAGTACAAAGCTTAAACAGGGAGGCTAAAACCACTTTCTCCGGCTGGCGGTAGAAGAATGAGTGGTCACTTACGCGGTACGTAGTACATGGGCTCTGACGCCCCAGACACATTGGCTGCAGCTCCTGCCTGAAACACCTCCTTCGGTCGCCAGCCTTCTGCTTTTATTTGCCACAATCATAGCCACATATCATGTTAGGTTTCGTTTTTTCAAAGAGGCAGACAGGTAGCGACCGAAGATAAGGCGAGTTGAGGGGAGAAGGAGATAGAGGAGGTGAGTGATGACACAAGGAAAGGGTGAATTCCATGAGAGGAGATACTACTTACAAACGGACCGACAAACATACGAACAACACTTAAAAAGGCACCAAAGAGGCATGCAGTGGTATGCAACACGATGCATAAGCAGGAAATAATTTTGGGGCTATTAGCAACCTCGATGCCCCTTTCTTAGTCATTACGTCCACACCTTTTTAAACTGAAAAGAGAAATCTCAAAAAGCACTTCTAGGTAAGTTGTATGGCATTTGCCGTTAAGAGATGTCTTTCGCTAACTACCCCATTCCACAAAAAACGAAGACGGTGGTGACTATTCCATATTATTCCATTCTACACTTCAAAACAGTTTGATCAGTTAAGACTATTCCACATGAACATAAACTGCAGCGTTTTGGACTTTAAAGGCCTGATGACCAAAACAATCCACTTTGTTTGACATCTTCAAATATAGATCTGTTTAGTCGAAAAAAAGAAGGGAATTTGCACCTTTGCTGTTAATAGCCCAACTGCCTATAAACTAGCGCTATTAAGAATGGCTTTGTTATTCCATTACTCTCTGCTAGTTCGCTTGTAAGACAGAAATTTCTGCGTATTTGGGCGTTCCACATTTAACTCCAAAGCCACTCCCATGGAAACTAAAATGGATGTCAAACGACCTGCCACAGGTGATTACTTTCGTGGAACAATAAGGTGTCTTACCTGTCAACTGGGGGGAGAGAAATAGGAGTGATGCCTTTCTTATGCACCTGTTAATCCGCTCGCATCAGGAAGACCTCCCTAATCTTAGTGAAACAATTAAATTAACTAATTCAGCCTGTCTGGACTTTAATTTAATAATTTTTTATCCTTATCTCCATTTTTTTCATAATTACTTATGGGCGGTGAAATGGGTATTAAACAAGCAATAATAGTTTAATTTGTTTTAAAACGACAAGTGAAGACGTGGGTAAGACAATAAAGAATAAAAAAATTCTTAGTAATTTTTAAACTTTGGGGTTTTGCAGAACATTTTCTTAGTAAAGCTTTGTTTTAAGTAGTCTTAGGTTCAAAAAACATTGCAAATAATAAAAGAGGAAGGAAAACAGAACATCCAGTTTTGAAGAATATTCCTACTTCTGCGGTGAAATCCATCAAAAAAGGTGCTGTCTATCTGTTGCATTTTAACAATCGGAAGTTCATAAATTAACCTTGTGGTGTGTGTTCAAAATCTGCAGGCCTTTGGACGATGCGAGGAGTCCACAACCTTCATGGCTATCATTAACTGTATAAAATCGTCAGAGGTGATACACGATGTTATTCTCCTACCCCCACTTCTTGCCTAACACCCCATAGTTGAGGGCTCTAGCAAAACCCTGAAAAGGGTGTTTCGTTTCAGTGAAGAGGACAGTCACTTTTTTCAAGATTTTCGTTCAGAAGATGTTTCTTAGATTAGGCAAATGAAGAGACTTGTCACGTCAGTGGAATAAAATTCCTAAAAAGTCTCTTAAAACTCTTTAACAAGAAAATTGACTTTTTACATATGAATAGGAAAACTTGACTATTACATCTGAAAATAGTAATACTTCTTAGTCGCTTCTTTTTCTCACCTTTACTGAGCAACAGGTCGGATAATTCCTCAAGATCTTGCAACAGAAAAGCCTGACCAGAACAACGTGATACGATGAGAGAGAAGAGGAGACATAGGAGGCAGAGGTAGAGGAAGCGACGTGAACGGACTAGAGGCGGGAAAATCACCACAAGCTGTCTAGTCATGAGGCTAACTGAGTCGTGCGAGGGTGGATTCCCATGGATTGCAGAATAGACGTCGGCACCTTTTACTCCTTCTCAAAGGGTTAGCGAGTTTGCTACTGTGTGTGAGTGGATGGCAGTGAGTCTTATCTACTCCCCTAGCCAATCAGTGCTGAGCAGATACACGTATTGGCCATTGGCGGTGTCGGTTGGAGTCATGCCTATCCACCGATAAGATGACTGATACAGATGGGAAAATATTTATTTATGCATTTATATTTATATTTATTCTTTTTCCTCAAAAAATGCCAAATGGAAAGAAAAAGTCAGAATTGTTACATTAATATTTATTATAAGGTGGGGAATGATGAGGAGTCTAAAATACGTTTACCATTGCGTTCCGGTGTAGTTTAGAACATGTTTGAAAGATGACAGCACCCTGTTTTATTTTTCTAGAAGGTTACACTCAGATTGGATCAATTCAACTTATTACTTTTTTAATTTTTAGTTATACAATCAGGACTTATTGGCTTCAACTGGAATGGTGCCTGATTCATTTATGTCCAGAAATACGCAGATCTTTCTGGTTAATTGTGATTAGGGCTCCTCAACAAAGGTAAGAAGCTCTACTTCTGCCATTCATTCTGCTTGCTCCTTGGCTCTTCTTTGGAATGATAGTAAATTCACTTCTGGACTAATTTACCGTAAAACCTATTTAAAATGCAAAACTTCTACAATGAATTTTATGACGGAGCGGAAATGATGTAAAACAATGACGGAGATTTATAAGCTATCAAAGAGCGGCACGCGAATCTAGAGATTCACTTTAAAATGATCCAAATGTTACATCCCAAACAATTTCATCACCAAGTCGATAATAAACGCGATTAATTTGGACCAGTTAAAAGCAATAAATGCATCGAAATTAAAGCAATTCAATAGTTTTATAATATTTTGGGGGATGCGCATCATCTATCATTCTGTCCTTCAGCATGCGCGCCCTTAATCGCCATTTCTACTTACAAACTATAAGTAAAGGTAATTTTCCACCTTGGATTATACATAAGCAACATCAGGTTGCTCCACTTTTCCCCATCTGTCCACCCATCGCGTTGCATATTATGCAGCAAGGGCATGAAAGGAACCTATTCTGCACACCACCTCTACAGCATCCCCCTCACTGTCCTCTGCACTCGCCATACACAGACCGATAAATATTTAATGCTGGTTTCACAGCAGTAGCAGCAGAAACTATGGCAGGAGTAACAGTTGTAGGAGCAGTGAGTTCTCCCCATAAATTTGTGCAGTACTTCAATTTGTGCAAGTTAAGAAAGTAGATGAAGCAGTAAGAGGGAAGTCTAATGAAAGGACTTATCCGTTGGTTCAGAGCCCAAAAATGCACTTCCGTTTCACTCCAATTGGCTGTATCTAAATCCTACACTTCTAGAACTACAAGGATATGAGACTAAATTCCTCTCAAAAGTCAGCAATAGGTTCACAAACTACTTCGCTATAAAAAAGGAGGCAGGTTAATGTGTTTTGCAGAGCTAGGTAGCAAAAAATCGCTGCAATTGTCTATCGCCTACTAATGGGTGGAAACACAATGCTTCATCTGCGAGAATGGAGCAAAAAAAGTGTCACATTTGTTTTGACAATTAACATGTGAAACGGTAATTTAATATGCATGCATGCATATCTCACGCTGTCGACAGGAGTAAATAAACTACCACATTTCTTTTCAGTGCTGAATGGCATTTGTTCAATCTATCGTTACGAATTGTAAATGTGAGCAGTAGAAATTTGGAGAAGAGGTTGTGTAAATACGCGGAGGAGACCTCTCACTTGCGCCCTAACCGCAGTGTGACCACCGTAAGCAGAAGATCCACGCATTCAGCGGTGGTGGAGGTCGTTAAATTGGCGCTGTGGTGTAAGACAGGCAGGCTTGACCCCAATTTAATGGATTAGTGAGAGAAACTTATGTCATATTTTTGCGGATATACGAATGATGTAATGAGGGGGAAGCTGACCGACACCCTTTTAGATGCCCTTTTCCTTTTAGGGCGTTCCTCTCTGTTTTCTCTAAAAAACCGCCTTTACTCGAGGGAAATATGCCCCATGACAACGATGTAGACTAATAACTTTTAAAACAAGTAGAAATAAACTACCTGAATTCGGTGGTTTAACAAAATGTTTGATGATTAAGGGCGATGCCGAGAATGGCCGCTGAGGCACGAGTTACATCAGCAAAAGTCCAGACAACCTGTGCCAAATTGTTCAAAAAGGTGTCGGCTCAAATAACTTGGAAGTTTATATGACAAACAACTCCAGAATATTCGCCTGTACGCTAGAAAAATTAAAAGCAAGCATACAATCCTATTAGAATTAGTTTCCTTGCTCGAGCAGAACCTCCTCTCCATTTTTGTACTCCCGCCTCTTCCTGTAATCCAACATATACGTTCTGTACGCCGTCAATGCATATTATTCCCCAGTATCATGTCTTCTTTTGTCTACAGGGAGGGATCGTGACGCTGCATAAGGTCTCCAAGACAAAGGATATTTCGATGTCTTGCGAATGTTCCAGACAGTCCATAGTCCTTCATTTAGTGGCTCATTATAATATTTTTAAGCTTTAGATGTCATATCCTTGGTAGTCGGTTTCACAATAGTACTCTGTGACTTTTTTTTGAGAAAAAGGCTTTAATTTGTTGCAATGGATGAATGACGTCTGTCATCAAAATGCGGCCATTTCAGGCCAACTTTGGGATTTCGCTTATATCCTTTACCACAGAAATATATAAAATAAAAGCTAAAGAAGTTTTCGAAGGTGGTACTTTTTGTTTCCCACTACTTTTGCAAATTTTTGGTGAATTTATGCATTTAACTCTGCATAGCGGCTCTTAGATGTCAAGGCTTGGAGATAACCAATGAAGCAGCTTCATGCGAGATTGGCAGCCAATCACCGGCGAATGTGGTTGTTTTTAACATTTAAATCATAACTGCACTTTAAAATCACACCTTTTGGGAATTTTTATGAAGAAGACATACCTACTATTCCCCGGTTAATCATACTTAAAAGGACAACTTTTCTAATCGCAAATGAATATCTCTAGACCCCCGAAGGAAATCTCTCCAATTGGATTATGAAGGAAGGAAATGGAAAAGGAAGAAATTAGTGTGTGCAGAGAACTGTTTAATCTCCAGAAAACTATATTCGAGTAATGAAGGTTTCGTTAGAAATAAAAGGTTGCAAGAACAACTCTTTCTTCTTAGTTCCCTTTCCTGTGAAAACGCAATCTTGACCTCTTAATCAATCATTTCCCATTGAATCTTTCTTCTAACCCAGATGCGAATGTCATGAAAAAACTACATATTTCGACTTGGAGGGAAATGGAAAATTAGCTGTTCACCTGTAATTTCTATTTGATTATGAGGAAAATAATTAAATAGGGTTAGTTAAATCATCCCTGGGATATGATTGCTTGATCATCTAGGCTGTCATCCACTTTCCGTCACATCAAAAAGGCGCTAAGCGCCACCGCTCTAGGTTTGCTTTTGTTGTCATTCTGTCAATCCCCATACGAGACGTCCCTCTTTCTCTATCTCTTTCTTAGATTCGCCTGTGTAAACACGGCTAACAGGTGTGCTTAAGTGGTCTAGACCGCGCGTTTATCTTTCCCTTTGGTCAGGTGACGCTGCCGTCTTTTATAACCCATAAAACCAAACTAGCTAGTCGCCCAGCCGCCTGAATGACCTCGCTGACCTTGTCGGCTCACTCTTCTTCAATTACGTCGCCGCCAAGAAAACTTCTGTGCATAACTACCTACCTCATTTTTGGGGTGATTAAGCCCTACAGTCTTAATGACTGTAGGTAGATTAAATTACCTCTAGACATGACTTTTAGCTGGTCGCTGTACGAATGCATTGAAGAGTGAATGAAAACGCCAAATTGAATAAATTTCGAATGAATGGATGTATAGATGAACAGACGAATGAATAGATACGAGATAAATGGATGGATGGATGGATGGATGGATGGATGGATGGATGGATGGATGGATGGATGGATGGATGGATGGATGGATGGATGGATGGATGGA